GGCAACGGCTGTCGACTCACTGCTCTGTTTTGTAGATTAGTAAGTGGGAACCGTCGGGGCTGGGCCAGGTGCACTCGGGTCTGGGCAGGATTTCCTCCTGGTAGAGCCAGTCGGGCACGGCATTGTACACGACGCCAGGGACGCCGGTATCGGTGATTCGCGTGGCCTCGGTCGAGGTAGGCGAGCTACGCACGTAGACGTCATTGTCGGAGACAAGCAAGAGGGTGGTCGTGTTGCCCAGCCATGTGGCGTACTGAAGCTGCGCCTGTTGGATCCGCGGCGACGCCTGCAGCCGGAGCGGCGTGTGGTGGCTATTGGCGATGAAAAGAGGGCGCGTTAGCTGATGCGTGACGTTATTCCTATTTTACCCCCATCCTCGTTATACTCCCAACTACATGTGCATGCGTCTGTCGGTGTGCGGTGTGTACATTTATTGCTACTACCCCTTTGCACGGGCCCTCTGAGCCAGCTATAAAATCAATGGTGATGCATATGCACGCCCGCGATTCCCTCCCCCTATCACCGCTACCCTCTTGTTCCCCTCAGTCAACAAATGGACATTGGTTTGCGTTGCGAACACGGTAAACGTACCTATACTTTTTACTTTCGCGTGCATTAATTTTTTCACTATAAGTAACCCTTCAATAAAGTGAGCTCGTTTTTTTTTTTTTTTTTTTTTTTTTTCAACTTACTCATTCGTGACGTCGTAAACCGTGTAGTGTGCGGTGAATGTGTGCCGGAACACCTACAAATCAAAGTCAGCTATTGTAAATACGCATTTACGAGTTTTATTACCGATGCATCATTTCTTGATATTTGTTTGATGATGATGAGGATAAAACTTTTACGTGTATAAATACACGTTCGGGTTTGTTATACTAATGATCACAGTAGGTATATATATGTATAAAGGTGGTTATTTAGCGCAGTAAGTCAGTTCAGTAGCGTTTACTTACCGGCTTGACATTATGCTTGAAGAGTACGTAACGCAAGTCCTTGCTGCACTGATAACCTTGGACATTGAGCTGCCTCTGCAAGCAAACGCATACGACATGCCGTTAAAGGATATACCACGCGAGCTTTTTTTTTTTTTTTTTTCTCGATACTCTCCGCTCTCTGGCAATTTTCGGAGTGGAGCTAAAAAACCGCCAATCACGTTCTCACGATGCGCGCATCGCTCTCTTCTTTTATCTTTATTTCTTTTTTTCCGACTCTCACTTCCTTTGCAGAGGAGGAAAAAATGATTGCGTCGGATAGTAAAAAGCAAAAGGAAAATAAAAAGAAGCATCGCACAGTGGGCGAAAAAGTGTTTGTAGGGGCTTTCACGGGGCTGCAGTCTGTAGCGGCCTATTATCCAGTTGCAGACAATACGTGGTATGAAAGTCACAGAGAGTCGCCCTTACGCAAACTGTAGCTCAAATAAAACCTTGAACTGATCCAAATTTTTTTTGGCTTAATCAGTTGATTTTTTTTTTCTTCATAAAATTTTACTTTTAAATCCTTGAACATCCGTATACCGATGTTATCCGTGCAATTGAAGTTTTCCTCACGCTTGTACAAACTTATCCTTTTTGTATGAAACAAGATAAGAAAGAAAAAAAATCTTCACCGTAAACTTGGAAACTGTGCATCGAAGACCAAAGAAGCCCTCGTGCATACGAGACGAGGGTTAAATAGGCACAAAAACTAGTCAACGGATGGGAAAAAAGAAAAAAACCCACTGAAAGGGAAGTCGGCACTGCGTGTCAATCAGTACAGAGAGCACAAGTGGCAGTTCTTTTCCGCAATTAATGTACGTACGGTATGGAAAAACTGCGGCATCAGATTTTACCCTTCGAACGCCACGTTGAGCTAGAAAAAAAAAAAAAAAAAAAAAAAAAAAAAAAAAGAATGAACCTACTGAACGAACGAGGCAGAGAAATACAGAAAAATTAACGGATCGCCGTTCCCGCGCTGGCAGAGGTAAGGCGAAAAAGCGCAAACGAGGGAACTCGCTTTTCTCCCGGAGCCTATAACATAAACTCTCTTTTCTCCATTTTCTTCATACAGTCGTCGTTTATTTGTCACCAAGACCCATGTAGAAAAAAATAAAAATATTCTTCAACGACAATACGATGTAACAGATGTTTGATCACTCTGCTCAATTTGAAATTCGGACCTCCGAAGAACTACGTAGCTGTCACCGCTTGGCTTTCCGTATACAATCATGAAAATTCCATACTGAATGAATGAAAAGAAGGAAAAAAAACCATCGGACTGGTCAGCGAAATGAAATTTGGCCAGTCGACGCTTTTAATTGAGTGATACCGTGTAAACAGCACGCACCGCATGCACGGAATACATTGCACTAGGGGGAAATGGGGGGAAAAAAAGGAAGAAAAAAGATAGAAAGAGTTTACACGCATGTATGGAAAGAGAGCGGCACGCGTCACACCATAGGAGGCCGTGTCATCATCCCATATATATATATATATATATATATAAGTTTAAAGCAGAGCGGGTGCCGTTGCAGCAGTTCCGCTATAGCACCAGCTGCGGATCAATGCTGAATTTCACGCTCGCTACGAGGATGGGAATGTAGGAGTACTTGGATTTAAAAGGCTTCCGCTCTCCGGTGTAATTGCTTATTTTCCACTCTCGCCTTCGCCTTTCACCTCTACCGCAGCCAACACGGTGCACTTGCGCAACCCTCATTTTTGTTAATTACCCTCTGGCTTTTGTTAATTGTTGACGTTATTGCGTTTTCGTGCTACGAGCACTTTTTATTCAATCAACTGCGCGACAAATAATGACGAAGGGGCCGAGGGGGGGATAGGAGCACGGTTCAAGTTATTAAAAAGCAATCCATTCGGCGAAGGCCGTTTACACGCGGGCGGGGCCAAATTAAGGCGCTTCTCCCGAAAAATGAACTATTATATTTTTGCTTGAAACTTTGTTTATTGCTAGATGACGTATTAGTACACATTTTCTGAAAATTTGAGCAAAATTGTACGTTTAGTTTTTGCGTAAAACAATTTCAAAGTTCGACAAATTCGTATGCATCTCTTTGTCTATCACACGGTGTCTTATGGCAACGGCTGTCGACTCACTGCTCTGTTTTGTAGATTACTCGGAAAATAAATTATTTGTCTTTGATTAAAAACCATCACCACATAGTTGTAAGTTCCAGAAATCTTTGAGTCAATTGAATAGAAACTTTATACGTTTACTTCTATTAGTAATTTGAGTTTTAAAGTAGCAACGAAAATTAGACGTTACTTTTGTCGCGAAATAATTTGGTGAAACGCAGTTGGCAACATGTAAGTATCTTCTGCACCACATTCAAATTGAATTACGCACACAGGTATGCAGAATACTTGCGCAAAATTTTTTTTCCAATAATAACGAATCACATAAGGTAAATAATTATTATTTATCTCATTTCGCGAAATAAGTACATGATTGCCAACTTTGCACTCTAAATGATTTGCTAACTCATTTACCGACATGGTAACGCATATACAATTAACGCTAGATGGTGTACCTCTCGAGGGAGAAGCGCCTTAATACAATATACAAATCTCAGTGAAATGTGCGAAAAACAAACCCGACAGAAGCGGATTTTATCCCATCGGGAACAAAAGGTATTCGCATAGTGCTGGAGCACCAAAGCTCTCTTTTGGCCTGTGTAATGTACTCCAGCTGTTACGGTTACTCGAGCAATTTTCCAAAGTGCACGAACCGAATCGTCGTACACGCGGACCATCACGTAATATACACGCACACTGTATATACGGTGATAATATACACATGCAGATAACGAGCAAATCAGTTGCTTCGTTGGTGAAATTCGCTATAACTGGTGGATTTTTTTTTTTTTCAGGTCTTGTGTTGCGCGTCCAACGCTAACCATCCCTAACAATAACTCGATCTAATCGGGTATATATAACTATATACTTGCAGTTCTTTTAAAACTTACTCAGTCCAATACACTACGCGTGAATGCCAACTCTTGGTGTACATTTGACGAGAGACTCCTCCCTGATCCCGCGTGGCAAGGAAAATGAACGCGCCCGCGAAGCCTGTGTAACGATTCCCACCGGTTACTTTATCCATCATCACTAACTATCAAGAAATGTATACGTAGGTACATAGGGATGAAATATAGATGCACTCGATAATTACAGACCGCGGCTCAACCGCTCCCCCCGTACTCTTTTCTTTCGTTATTTTTTGCTCGCCCTTCCCCTGTCCCGCTATCTCAATTCTCTTTCGTTCTTTCATCCAAGCTACGTATATACACCTGAACGTACCTGGAAGGCATGGCCCGTCGGAATCAATCAGCCAGTGCATCCGTGCATCGGCGCAGCCTCGACCAATAGAGCGGAAAATTGCAGAAAATGCGCGGCTTTCTATTTGCCTTGGTCTCCCCCTCCCCCCTCTCTCTCTTCGTTGCTCTTTGCCCATAAATTAGACCAGAGCTTGGCTTGACTCAACTTCTCCCCGAATACTTATTTCTCTCCTCTACTCAAGCGCGAGTCGATAAAATTTTATTTCCCACTAATACCTGTACCGTTTTGACCCATCACTCTCGTCGTCTTTCTCTAATAAAAATCGTTCCTTCGCACCCTAGACTGTGCCTCATACTTTACATACGTGTATACTACAAGTATATTATATGCACGATAGCAATATTACACGGAACGTGCTCACAGCTCGATAATTTTTTTCCGTGCCGGTACGCCCAAGAATCTCGTCCTCTCCTGTCTCCATTTGTTTTTTTTTTTTTTTTTTTTCTCATCTGTACAGTATACACCTAATAATAAACAATAAGACAGCGAAAAGACGTAAAAATTATCCATAGGTACAAATTGCGAGTTTTCACAATGTTTAACCCATGCACCGTCACGAGGACATAATATACTCTAGAGTTGTATACCTATACGTATAATACTCCTCGCAGAGTACATATTAATTAATAACTACAGTTGAGTTTGCCTTGAAATTTTCGGTGCAAGAAAATTATGCAAACTAACGCAATATCTCACCCGGTGTAGACATTTCATTTTAGCCCTCTTACCGTTTTCGGGCTAAATGCTCGCCAGGCCAACAAAAAATAACTCAATTTCTTCTTAGGCAGCTCGTTTTTATTAATTTAAAAGGTGCGAGAACGTGCCCAAAATTACAGCTCCAAAAGTTACATCCATTTAAAACTACAAATCATGTTTTTTTTTAACTAATTGCCCGCCTACTTACCTAAGGTAGTTGGGCTAGTTGCAGTCAATTGATGTACATACCCACCTATTATAGTTACAGATCGGCACAACACCTAGTTGATTCAAAATCAACTTAAACGAAAGATATGCAAGGTGCCGTATTAATTTTTAACCTGTACTTTACAATGTAGGTACAAGAGTGATACCACCCATGATGTAAATGTAGACGTAAAACCCAGTGATGGAATAAGATTTTTACAAATACCATGATAAATATTAACTTACGAGTGTATGATTGGTTACCAAGAGGGAAACGGTATTATTGGAAGTGTCGAGCAGCGCTAGGGAGCCGTCGTCCGCCTGATAGACGAATTTGTCGTGCGTTATCCACGCAGAGGGTAGTCTGTAGGGGGTCAAGTCGCCGTGCAAGCATTCCTGTAAAGTCAGACGCCGCCCGCTCCAGTACAAAAGTTCATCGACGTAGCTGCGTAACACAACACAAACAACGTATCGTGTAATTTTTTTTTCGCATTTATAAACACATGATTTGTCCACATTCATGATTGATCGCACATATAGGTATCAAGATATTGGTACATTGCTTACCCGAGCAAGTAAATAGCCGTGACGATGCCGGCGATGATGACACCGATGACCAGCAGGGAGAATACGATACTCCTCCAATTGTGACCGCCATCCGAGTACGTCAAATCCTAAAACACGCATTAATCGAATGAGACTCGTCCAAACCTCAAGCTGCAGTAGCGCATTGTACGACATATCATATATATATATACACAATTATTATATATTATTGCAACAAAGACTGCAGGCTCTCGCAGCAAATTGCAACACAATAACACAATTAAGCGATACAGTGCAGACCGATTACAAAATACCTCTACGTGTGTTCTACCTCCCTCCCCCCCCCCTCTGTCCCTACCAACCGGTCACGCGCAATATGCCCCGCGCGTAAATATCGCTCAATCGAAAGCCGATAGATAGCTCGCCGCTGTAATGCAAATGCGGGGGCGCTCGTTTTCTTTGTCTCTCTCTCTGCTACTGTAGTCGATGCACGTGAGAGGGCAAAGAATAAGCCCTCCAGGAGCTCCGGGCATGTAGCGGAGGGTACCGTATACCCCGGGGGATTATTATCGAGCAGAGGCAACGACGGAGGACTACGGGGCTATACGCTCTGTTCCGACCTATACCGGGAAATTTTCATCCCCCGTATACTTAGTATATCCTTATATGTATACAGTATGGTATATAGATGCAACGTGGTTATATACACGTAATAATTGAAGTATCAGGTAGTCGATCAATTTGTTGCTCCCTGCGCCGAATATATATATAAATATATATCTTTGATGGTTACAGGTATACGTATATGCGTATATGCAGCTCAATCGACAGTGCGTCGTCCCGAGACTGAGTCGAAGTTAATTCGTTCCATCCCTGCGAGAGTGATTTTATATGAATTGTCGCGACTTAACCATCGAGTATACATAAATATGTATTAGCTGGGACTCGCTATTTTTATTTAAAGCTAGGCATAACATGGGCTACATAAGAGAGAGAGAAAGAGAAAATCTGGAAGAGAAGAGGTGACGAAGAGAGATAGGAGTACCCGCATCTCGATATAGTTACCCGATATTGAATTCTTAACGAGCCCCTCTTCCTCCGCGTGTTTTCGCTATCATCATCATCATTATCATCGCCATCTCGATTCGGTATTCCATTCAGCAATAAGAGGCAAAGGCGCTCCGTATCTTTTTTTTCCCTCGAATAGCACTTTGTGATGATTATATAAAATATTCGAGGGACTATCCACGAGTCGGAAGATACCTTTCTCACGCTCCCCTAACTCATAACTTGTATTACGGCTCCCGTGTGTTCCGCCCTTCTATAACTCTGTTATTATGTTTCTCCCAGTGCTCTACACAGTAACACCTATACGTTTGTACGCTCCTAGACCGTCTTAAACTTTACGCTCGACAAATTCATCGCACGACTCGAGTACATAAATTCTTTCAATAAAACTCCCTCTGCCCGTACGTGGATACTATTTTCTCACCTATAGGCTTTTTTACACTATTTTTTACTTTTCTTTTTAATTTAATTTTATATACTTATACATCTGTATTATTTCAAAATGACTCTCCGCAGTCGATTTTCAACTTTTCGTTTTTCCCCCCAAAGTTAAATTAAAACAATCGTACTACTTTATTATTATTACTATTATTATTATTATTATTATTATTATTATTATTATTATTATTATTATTATTATTATTATTATATGCCCCAATAACGAAACAATAAAGAGTTTGGCCGAGCGTATTTTTCCAATAATCAAGGAGATAAAAAATGCAAGGGAACAATACTCTTTCGAACTATTGAGATCCGAGGGAAAAATGAACACACAGCCCACCTACCACGTACCAACCATGCCCTGCAACAGATACACTTTATACTGCAGTACTACTCTATACGCAGCAATAGCAGCAAAGACAATGTTCCACATGATAATAAAAAAAAAAAAAAAAAAAAAAAAAAAAAAAAAACAACTTTGGCGCGTCATCTACCATCAAATAAATATAGTATGCAAAGAAGTCGCTCCTTCTTACCTCGTCATCGTCGTAATTCTTGTTTGCAATGGTCATTTTTTTGGAAATAAAAGCCCAATGAAAAAAGATCGGGGATATCGCGGTTCACAGTAGCGGTGGAAACAACAAAGCCCGAGCGAGCGAAAGCTATGTACTGGTGGCAATGCCGATACAGAACGGCGTGTCCAAGTGCAGACTCGGGTTGTCGGATCCCAACATACCGTGTTGCGTCACGCGACACAACTATAATTGAGTTATACTACTTAAGATTTACTTACTCGAACGAAAGCCCCAACCGAGACGGCTACGGTACCCACACGACTTTTATCATTTTCCGTCTCAAATATAAGTACGTTTCAGGATTTACTGCGGGCTGCAGTTCAATCAATATTTGTTTTTTTTCTTTGTCATGAGAAACCAATTGCCGTACAGTGATAACATCTGCAATCCGAGTCGAGAAAAATTTTTCCAAAATAACAACAAGCACAAATATAATATCTGATAAACAATTACTCGATTCTGGACCATGTAATGATTCATGTGCTACGCGGTAACTAGTATATGTTGGCAATAAAATTGCAAGGATCCGAATCGCAATAACCATATATTTCCAATGGGAATGGAGATGATGCACTGTCTCTTACTCGTTGCAAATATTATATACCTTATTTATATGTTACTTATCAGGAGTAAGTAATGTACAATATATTCATATTCTTGTGGGTGTAATAACTGATGAACAGATGATATTATTATTATTGAGTGGTAATAAAACGGAGGGCAAAAAAAGAAAGTGACGTCGCATAAATTGGTGCGCATTTAACAATAGATTAGATTCATACGGCATTAGCGTGCGAAATCACGCTGCTGAGAATCTGCGGGTGGGTGGGTTTGTCGAAGCAAATAAGTCCCATAAAAGGAAATGGCGCGTTAGAGTGACTATTGTGGCGCGCTTGTTATTACAATAGCAATTCTCTCTCTCTCTCTCGCAGCTGTTGCTATATGGTATACGTGTACTTATAGTATTGTATTATCCGGTTCTCCGTCTTCTCGAGAAACAACTCCAGCTAGCAAGCTTGCCCCAGTCTTGTAAGATTTTCATGGATTTCACGGTCGGTGATGTTAACGCGTACTTTGATGCTATACCTACATGCACCCTATACAGGCAGGCGGTAAAGGAGATTTGCTTTGCAAGCACATGCAGCCCGCAAAAGCACTTTTATAAATATTTTAAGCTTAATTCATATAATATGCTACATGCAAGACGAATCCTGGCTATTTTATTCGGGACACTTTCAGCAAATCTACGCTTCGTTTGTCCAATTTTTTTAGGTAGGTATACACCTGCTCGAGGACTTTGTGTAGGTATATATGATGTATAGCTATACTATACTTCAAGACGCATTTTTTGTTTTTCACGCTTATACCTATACTTATTGTATACATATGGAATAAAAATTACGTGGAACTTTATATCGCTAATAATCATGCACCTGTACAATTTCGCATCTTTCCCGCTTCTCCGAATCCCACGGATTGCACTTGACTCGATTATCGAAATAACATGGGCCCGTCAGCTCTGTGGGTATATATCAAAGCTGACAAAAAAAAGGGGAGAAAAAAAAAATATAAAACAAAAACAATGCACGTGCAGTCATATAGGTAGTAATAATAATAATAATTTCTTTTAAAGCAGCAACAACAACAACAACAACAACAATAACAACAACAAAAATAGCAGCAGCAACATTACAGAGTTAGCGTTCGAAAAGGTGGTGACATCGGCAGTGAGTGAATTAGCACAATGGCTGCGGGCGGGGCGTGTCGGCAGCGGCAGCGATTTTACCTCTTTTACCTGGGCTGATTTGGAGCGGTCGCCAACCTGGACGGTCTCGTCTGGGGGCAGCCGCCAGGAGTTCCTCTCTATGTTGACGCTGGCGTTCATAGCGGCCTCGCTAGACTTGGCCCGAACCGGCACTCTAGGAGCCGGGAGCCAAGCTGGCGCTCATGCCGCTGCTTCGGTTGGTTACCTACGGCAAATCCACACAAACACCCACGCGCTCGTAATAAGCTCGCATCATATTACTTACACATACACATCCTACACATATTTCATGCAAATATATATGATATTGTTTAATTGTTCGTTAATTGTCTCGTCTGATTTTCACTTATATATTTACATCGCTAAGCGAAAATCCGACCCTCCGGATTTTCCGCCTCGGTTTGTTCATGCACGGGACAAAATGTGCACTCCCTCCCCATCGCCCCGATCGTTGGGCATAGGACCGGAATATTGTCAAGGGGCACCGCAACGTCTGCTATACACACACACACACACACACACACGTGTACATAAACACCTGCAGTCAAAAAGTCGATGACAGTGGAACTTGGCAGGGGCAGGGACCATTTGAACATCGACCAAACACACGGCAAGCAAAAAACCTTGAGGTAGTTTTTCTCTACTTTGTCCTTCAAAGTTCCCATGTTTCACCGATAGCTCTAGCTGTCTGCATTATATATATATATACAATAAGTATACACCCGATGCACGATTATTGGATCCTCGGTAAGGTCATGCCACCCCCGTAAAAATAATTCCTCTTTTGCCTCGCGCATTTGCACGATTTTAATTTAATCAGTGCTGATGGCCATAGATTTTCATACATATGCGTATACATATATTATAAAGCCCATCCATCCAAAGCGCTGCTCAGCATTATAGAAATAACGAGAGGGGGACTTTTGGCTCCGATATCCGTTTCTCTGTCATCGCACGGGTTGCGCGTTGCATCATTCCTCGTTATCGTTAATTAATCGACGGGCACATGTACTATTAGCGACCCGTGTGACACCCATATAATATTATATGCAGCCACCACTCGTCGACGATGACGTCAGCGCCGGCGCGACATTCCCTTCCCCTTTCGCCCCTTACGATTTCAATCTCGCGCTTAACTTCAGCAACAGCTGTATAATATAATGCTGCAGCAATAACCCTATAGGTATTTTTCACTGGAAGGGTTAATTCAAATTTAAAAGTAAAGTCAGTCACCCCGAGTTCTCTGGCCGTCTGGTGTACATCGATAATGGATTTTCCCGCTGCTGCATCATGCCGGTGGATTGTCCGGCAGAGATACCGACAACAGTTTAAGAATAATATAAATACTAATGTCACCTACAGAAATATCATTTGCTGTCGTTACACCGTCATTTTGTCAATCTTCATCTCAAAGCGTGTCTTTGACATGGCATTGATACATATAATACCCAAGTTATGGTTGGTGTACCAGCTAAATATCTCAACTAAAAGTAATAAAATAAAATAAAGAAAAAACTAATATGTATAGTGTCGTTTTTTTCGTTACCTCTAGTACTTATCAAGAACTTTGTAGGCGTACAAAGTTTTTCACCTTCGTGAACCGAGCGATGGATACTTTTCAACTTTCTAGTTTGAGCTGTTACTACCTACAGTTTGGAGATTAAGATAAAAAAAGCGAGGCTGGCTTGGCTTGTTTGTGCAACCTCATCGAAAAGTTGTTAAAAACTGGATTTTCTTTTTCGAAAAATCCACATAAAGAAAGATACGGAAGAAGGGAAGTAGAAACAACAAAAAGGAAAAGAAAAAAAAAATAATAATAATAAGAAAAGATAAATGTAGTCTCTGCTGTGAGCTTTGAATAAATTGCGTGTTATGGCATGGGGGCGAGAGCCCGGTATACACCGACTATATCCTATAAATTTCGCAATATCACCAAGGAGGTAGCATGTTAGGTAGCGTAGGTAGTAACTTATACGTACTGGCACTAGCTTTCCTTTTCAACAGACGCTATTGAAAAATTTTTGATGAAAAATATTAGATGTGCTCCGCATACACCGTAAAATCCGACGTTTCATAAGACATGTATAATATACCCGAAACAAGCGATAAATGATGATGATAATAATAATAATAATAATAATAATAATATTACGCGTGGAGGCGAAGATATAATCATCTTCTTAGTTACTCCGTGAATTGTAATCTAATCGTGCAAGTATACACATTTGGGGTCATTTTTTAAGTACGGGGGAAAAATTAAATTAGACTCTAGCTCCGTTTTGTTGAGTATCGTCAACCGGCAACAAGAGTAGGTACGCACACGTAGAAGCGTCAATCAGACGCAGTGGAAGGACGAAAGTCGGGAGATCCACGCGCGATTAGCGCAAATCGTGCATGAAAGGTGTCCCCGATTTGCCTGGGCTGGCTCCTATAGTCTGTCCATTTCCGCCCCATTGACTCTCGCTCCGACAATGGCGCTCCGCCAAAGGAGAAAGAGCGCAGCTGCACACGGTTAGAAACAAAGCAGAGGGAGAAGAGGGTCGAAGAAGAAGCAGTATAGCGAGGGAAGCGGTTCCGGAAAGGGAAGGAGAGGGAGAAAGAAAGCGGGTGGGTGGAAATACAAAAGTATGAGCTTTTTGACGGTTCCGCGAAATTTCGCGTAGAGGTTGGTTGGGGGGCGGGAGGGGGTAGTGGAACGAAACGCCAAGGTTCGCTCTTTTGGAAAAAACGAGGATGGTCTTTTGTGGGCGCTCTCGACTTTGACGTGACTCTGTTTTTTTTTTTTTCCCCCTCATGCTTCCGCGAATTTTCGTATCGAAATGAAACACATCGAATGGACAGAAGAGAAAAAGAAATGTGACGTATATTATCATATATTTTTGGTTGGCAGGTATACTTATATATGCATGTTGGAGTCTGCCATGGGTATACCTATAAAAGTATTACAGTAGAAGTAGTAGATGCAGCTGAAATTAGTCGGACATGTACAAGTAAAGTGTGGCACAAATCGATCCACGTGGATTGTTGTTGCCGCCTACCCGCAATGATTTAGGGGCAGTTTGCTAGAGTGTATAGCATATGAAGAAAGAGCCAGAAATCGTCAAGTAGTGAGATCAAGAGGAACACGCCGCTTGAGCTGCAGAGATGCGAGTCACGCTGGGGCACGCCAGCAGCTCTATTCGAAAATGCTTGGAAAGTTTTTTTTCCTCTCCTCCACCCCAAGATAAATAATGCCGCTCACTGCTGTACATGTGCGTACATAAAGTACGCTTCGGTTGACAACGCGGCGACTGCAGTATTCGGCTGTGCAACCTCGATTTTTGCATTTTCGCTCGCCCGCAGGCGCCTTCTCGTTTCTCCGATGGCTCCGGAGTATGCGTAATTTATACGTGTTTACAAGCACAACTTTCGAGACTATCCACCGAGAAATTGTCACCGTGCATACCCAATAACCGACTGCTCCTCATGCGGAGGGCAACTTTTCGGCTCCCCTTGCTCCCGGTCGTCACTGCAGCTCCCGTTATACAAATTCAAAGGGAGTGCTTTATTTATTTATTATTATTTTTTTTTTTCCTATTCCTGTTCTTTCTCGTAGAGCTCGGATTTTGCAATCGGAATCGACTTTTCTTGCCAAATTTACGACCGCCTTATTTCTCCTTCCTCCGATGATCAACATATTATGCTCTCTATTGTCACCTACTGTTCAGCATGTCGTTGACAGCTAGCCAGTGGTATTAACATTTTTTAGGCCGCTACAGGCAGCTTAACATTTTTTGCGGAATATTCCACGACACTGGCTGTCTTGGTGTAGGGGAGGGAAAAAACGAACGAGCACACGCTTAGATGCGCCAGACTCTGCCGAGAGCCTCTGGCTTTAAACCAAAACGTGAAATTGAATGAACGGTATACGAGAAGAGATAAAACACTCGATCGTTTACCGAGTTTCATCTATAAAAAATGTCTTAATGACCTGTCAGCGCAAAAGATATGATGATGTATTATTATCTCCGAATCCCGATGCGATGAAGCACTGTATAACCTTATACCTATATGTACTCTAAAAGATTCTTGCATATTTTTGTTGTCGAATGCACAATACATTTAAAAGTATGATCTGGGGTGTGAGGTCGGATAGAGAGGAGAAAGAATGGCAACAAATGCTGCAATCTGAAATTGGAGTACCTATAGTATATAGGTACGAGGATCATTAGCAGAGAAGAAGGTGGAACTATGTAATCATCGAAGAGACGACGAGGGGAGGGAGCCGAGAGAAAGAGAGAGACAACACGTGAAATGGAAGTAGTTGGTGCATGCATGGGTACGTGTCTGTACTAGACGACGCCGACTGTGTAATTACGCCGTGCATTAGGCGGTAGCAGGGGCGTATTTAATCTATAGTAACGCCGAGCCTGTACACGTTTACCCCTACACACAGTGCATCAGTATTATAGAAGCAAAGTATACGTAAGTGTAGATAGTTGTTGTAGTAGTAGTAGAGCAAGCAGGCTGCTAGGACCCTTTTTCAACCGGGCATTCCTCTCCATATACCGTTCCCTCCGAGCGCCGGAATTATTGCGCTCGCGCCCCCCGGTAAAGCAGCAATTTTACGTTCGCCTCGCCCTCCTTCTCGTGATGCGCTCCTGCGCCCGGAAGAGATAGATTGGCTTACGCGCGTGCCAGGCAAACTGTACACGTACATATATGTGTACATCATATACGTAAGGACAGAAGCGAGCTTAGGACGATTTTTCATTCGCGCGCGTGTGAGAGGGATTTATTTAGCCAAATCAGAATATACAATATACATGTATTATACATATGCAAGCTGGTCGCACCAAAGAGGTATACCTATGGGTTCGAATGCACAATCTGCATCGATTTTTAACATTCTTTTCCCACTCGCAAAAATGAGAACGTTGCAATTGTACACGACTTTCATTTTTTTTTTTTTTCGTGTTTCTCTCCGTCGAGGAAAAATCCTGGCCGATCCCTTTTAATGGGACGGGATTCCAGAATTGAATACCATGGTTTTTTTTTTTTTTTTTCCGAGCCATTGTGTAAACTATAATGCACAAGTACACTAAATTATTAAAAATTATAATTACTTTGATGATATTGTGACGTAATGCATGCATATCACAGTATACCTACGGCACAGCGATAGTCGTACATCTGGCAGATGCCCCGAAAGTACGGAATTGCTGC